AAACCATAGTTGAGGTTCAAAAATATTTTTGATACCTATATTGGTTGTTGAGAATTAAGCTTCAAAGTTTACCTCGCAAAACTTTTCGCGAAACCTAATAGTATCATTCATTGGATTCATAGCTTTTCTGAAATTTGTATTTTAATGAATATTTGTCCAAGTTTATACCGTAACTAATTCTGCTAATGGTTTGTTTGTCAAATGACTACTGCCATAGAATTGATAAACATTGATTTTTTGAATCGATTAAAAGTACAGTAAAATGAACCCGTAGTTTGTACTTAATATCAGAATATTTACAACTATTTCAGACATTATATTCCAAACAAGTTTTTGAGACAAACTGAGAGAGACTGACGATATCGTGAGCGATAGACAGATTGTTTAGTAATGATAAACAATATGAGTACAAACAATATTCCGTATAAACAGCAAATACTGTACTTTAAGGAAGTTTTGACAGCATTTTAGGACCGATGAGTGAATTAATTGAATACATTTGCAACAAATATATGTTTCAATTAATTTCTATATTCGCTATTTAAATGTCAACTCATTTGAACATAAAATAGTGTTTTTAATTAGTTTGGAGTTTTGTTTTGACGTTTAAAACACTTGTCTATGCCTTGAATATATAAGCAATATACTAGTTGATAAATAATTATCTGTGAATTAATTTATCGGAAATAATGGCGTTTTTGAATCAAATAAAGAGTCCATTAATGCATAAAGTGTTTGGACACGCATTGACCACAAGAAGTGTTTTGTTGACAACTCACAGAAGTATCACATTTACGGCACAACATGAAGAACTGCGAAAAACTGTCAGAAAGGTATTTGACCATGCTATTTGATAAATTGATATTCAATTAAATGATACAATCATTCAAATGACAGGTCATTGAAACTCATGTCAACCCATATGTAGACCAATGGGAAGAGGAGGAGATATTTCCGTCGCATCAGGTCTTTAAAAAGTTTGGTGAAGCGGGTCTTCTGGGCATTACTCGGCCTCCAGGTCTGTGACACTGTGTAGTGTGACATGTATTTCATGCGAACCATTATTTTGCAGAATACAATGGATTGGGTTTAGACTATTCATATAGTATTGCATTCTTTGAGGAGTTGGCGAATATTAATTGCGGAGGAATTCCGACAGGGATTACAGTGCAGACAGATATGGCTGTCCCGGCGTTGACGGCGTTTGGAAGCGATTACCTAAAGAAGGAATTCTTGGCGCCAACAGTTGCCGGAGATTATGTGGCCTGTGTTGGGGTCAGCGAACCGAGTGGTGGCAGTGATGTGGCCGCTCTCCTCACCACTGCTCGCAGACAAGGCGATGACCTCATCATCAATGGCAGCAAAATGTGGATCAGTAATGGAATACAAGCCGATTGGATGTCTTTATTGGCGAACACTCGCGAAGGCGCCCCTCATAGGAATAAATCTCTAATTTGTTTGCCTCTCAAGACTCCGGGAGTTAAGACCGAAAAGATTAATAAAATGGGTTTAAAATGTTCGGACACTGCAATCGTCTACTTCGATGACGTGAGAGTACCCGTCAAGAACATCGTCGGTGAAGAGGGACAGGGATTCACGTATCAGATGATTCAGTTCCAAGACGAACGCCTCTGCGCCGCCACTGCAGGTCTCTCTCTCTCTTTCTCTCTCACTCTCTCTCCACTAAATATACTATATTTAGTATTATTGACACCAATTTCTATGATTTATTGAACCGATATATGAAAGCTGTGGCACAAATGGATCGCATCGTAAACGAGACAATTGAATACTGCAGACAACGCAAGACATTCGGTTCCCCTCTGATTGACAATCAAGTGATTCACTTCACTCTCGCGGAACTCAAGACTGAAATAGAGTTGCTTCGGTCCACAGTCTATAGAGCGGCCGGTATTTGACTATTGATTCAAATGACATGGAAAATTGAATTTGAATGCATGTTTCAGACGCCTTCATAAGTGGTGAGAACGTGACATACTTGGCCTCAATCGCCAAACTAAAAGCCGGTCGTTTGAGTCGAGAAGTGTCCGATAAATGTCTGCAATATTACGGAGGAATGGGTTATACCAAAGAAATGCTAATCAGTCGCGCATTCAGGGACTCGAGAGCACTATCTATCGCCGGCGGAACCGATGAGATAATGCTCGGAATTATCTGTAAATTTCTCGATATTCTACCCAAAAAGAGAGGTTAGATCTGATTTGAATGACTTTTACGCAATATTTTTGTAATTTAAATAAAAAATATTTTATAATTTATTAAATGAGTGAAAAATTTTAAATGAATCTAAAATACAAAAACATTAAATAACGGTTTGGGCTATGAATTAGAGCTCTTCGTGCTCGTGATCGTCCTCCTCGTCCTCTTTGGTCTC